AGGAGGAGGAGGAAGGGGAGGAAGAAGAACCCAAATAATCAATAAATGTGAAATGAGGCTAAGCCTTGTTATTATTCAAGGAAATATGAGTTATTATCAAAGTTAGAGTCCATTTCCTGTCCATACCTCTAGTGGATAAAGTTTGGTAGTTTAACTGTCAAAGGTAGGCAGATACAGAACCAGCAGAACACATACCCGCTCTTAGAGGAGAAATGGGTACGAACATGTTGGAAAACTATCTAGCATTATCTAGTAAAGATGTGCCAACCCAAGCCCAGAGTTCCACGTGTACCAGTAGAGAATCTCATACATGAGGGCAGCAACATCTTTGTACAGGAATGTTCACAGCAGCACTGTAGTAGGAAAAAATACTGGAGGCATCCAAATCACAACAGTGTTGGAACGAATAAACTGTGGTATGGCTCTACCATAGAATACGAGACAGCACTGAAAAAGAACACAGGAACAGGGCAATAAGGAAGCAAAAACACAAGTTGTAGAATATATACAGTGTGATTCCATTTTTAAAAAATTTGTTTTAATTGTAGGTAGACACAATAACCTTTATTTTTATGTGATGCCAAGGATCAAACCCAGTGCCTCATGCGAGCTAGCTGAGCACTCCACCATTAGAGCTACAACCCCAGCCCCGGTGTGATTCCATTTTTAAGGACACAGATAAACATTGTTCAACTATGAAAAAAAAGCAAGGGAATATCCACAAAATTCCAGAAATGGTTAGGGTGGAGGAACAGAATATGATGAGGAGGTAAACAACTCAGGCGCTGGCGACTTCAAAACAGTAGCAGTGTTCTTGTTCTATAATCAGACATGTTTGTAGCATATTTATACCTTATATTTATAGCATTCAAACCTACACAGTACTTAATAAGGTCCATTTTATTTAAACTAAGTATAAATTGCAGAATTTAGCATATGAATTTGAGGATCTTGAATCTTAGGTGCCTGCAGGAGAATTATGCTCTTTTTTTTTTTTTGGTGAAAAGATAATGAGTCTTACCCCAGTACTCCTGTTTAATCATTTAAAGTTTCATTTCATTAAATGGAAAGTGGCTTCCTTGCAGTATATTGTGTGCACTTGGAACGGAGCCTTAAAATCTGCTTCTCCCCCCCCCTCCCGTTCTCTGGACCCTGCTTTTCCTCAATTTACAGGAGAGATTTGAAGCACTTTTCACCCTCTACGATGACCAGGTGACCTTTCAGTTATTTAAAAGCTTTCGAAGAGTCAGAATAAATTTCAGCAAACCCGAAGCAGCAGCAAGAGCTCGGATCGAACTCCATGAAACGGACTTCAACGGGAAGAAGCTGAAGCTGTATTTCGCACAGGTACGTCTCGGCGTGGCGCACCTGCTCCCTGAACCTCTCCACCCGCAGGGACTCTCGCCTCCTCCTCTTGTCCCTCATCAAATCAGAGGTTTTTGAAACACACCATCCCAGCCAGCAAACAGTGTGAACTTCCCTCTGTTTTAGAGGTACCTGATCTGATTCACCTTCTGAATATACCTATCCTCCTAGCCTTTGTGTTGCTGAAATGGGAGGAATCCATTTTTCTGGCAGCCTTGTTCAGTGAGGGCTCTGCGAGGGTTAAGCCCTGGGACCCTGTGGTTAGTGATTATTTTTCCCTCTGTATCTGGCACTTGGGATGCAACGTCCTCCTGAGATGTGAGAACAGTCTCACTTTCTGAGCTTTGAGTCCTCTGCGGAGCCCTCTTGGGAAACACTGCCAGTCCAAGGGGTGGCCAGGAGGGGGCGCAGAGCCCTGCGGAAAGGCTGAGCTGGTGGTGGTCCCGGGCCAGGGCTCTCATTCTCTGATCCTGCGCAGGTGTGGCTCTTGAATAAACCAGTTTTTTCTCAAAGGAATCAATGAAACGAAGGCATTGGATCTCATGAATGAAGTGTATTGTTTTATCTTCCAAAATAATAATAATAAGTATCCCCTGCCTCCCTCTGTCTTCCTTCTAAATGAAAAGCGAGAGAGGCTTGTCATCTTGCATTCCAGATGAACACCTGAGTGAAAGCTGGGTAGACATTCCCCAGTCGTCTTTTGAGAGGGAGGGCGCAATCAGATGGCACAGTGCCTGTCTTCTAACCAGGGGGTGGCATCAGTCGAGATAACTGACCTGTAAAGAGAAGGGGGTGGTCTGGCTCACAGTCTGGAGGTTTTGGTGATCACTGGCCCCTGGCTTTGGGGCCTGTGGTGAGGGCAGCGCCTCGTGGCCAGAGCTCAGGGGGAACAGTCACTCACCTCGTGGCCAGAAAGCAGAAAGAGAAGCAAAGGAAGAGGAGGGGGTCCCCTGTCCCCTTCAAGGCACTGGCTGAAGACTGCCATTAGTCCCCACTTCCGCGGCTCCCATCTCCCAGTAGCGCCCCCTGAGAGCAGGCCACACCGTAGCTCACCTCACCTATGGGAAGCGGCTCCTGCTCTGCCTTTCCTTGGTCATTCATTCATTCATTCATTCATTCTCCTGTTCACCTCGTATTCAATGAGCACCCGATGCACGCGGCCCCGCACAGTGAGCCCAACGGAGCCCACCCCACCTTCCTGGGGCTGGAAGACGCTCAAGGGAAAGTTTACATTTTCTCTAAGACAGCGTGACAATTCGTGTCATGATGACAACGAAGAAAAACCGCCCCGTCCGCAGAGCGGCTGTGAGTCTCTCCCTTCCTGCAGGTGCAGATGTCCAGCGAGGCCCGGGACAAAGCCTACTTACTGCCACCTCAGCCTGCCAAACAGTTCCTCATCTCCCCTCCCGCGTCGCCCCCCGTGGGGTGGAAACAGAGCGAGGACGCCATGCCCGTGATCAACTACGACCTGCTCTGCGCCGTGTCCAAGCTGGGGCCAGGTAACTAGCTTTGGATTTTCCCGTTTTTGTCCCAAGACAGTCTCGCCAGCCTGGGTTTAGATTCCTGCTGTACATTTTCGAGCTCCAAGATCCTGAGCGAGTTCTGAAGCCTCAGTTTTCTGAGCCTTCGTTTCTTTGCTCTATAGAGATAATCCTAATGTTCACTGTGATTTCAGGGATTAATTTAACAATGCATAACACTCAATAGTTCTGAATTTTATTTTTTTTTATGATACCAGGGATTGAACTCAGGGGTGCCTAACCACTGAGCCACATCTGCAGCTCTTCCCCCCACACCACTTTTTAAATTGTATTTAAAGACAGGGTCTCCATAAATTGCTGAGGCTGGCTTTGAACTCATGATCCTCCTGCCCCAACCTCCTGAACCACTGGGATTACAGGGTTGCACCACCAGCCCTGCTGAAGATTACTGTAATCTTCACTGTTACAAATTCTAGGACTGGTATTAGCTGCCTTCTCTCACTGGCCCCATCGTGTACCAGATAGATGACAACGACTTTGTATCTCAAGGAATTGGTTGTGGTGTTATATCATCCCTTCCAAGTTGTTCTCTGAGCTTTCCTTTGTGACCTTGCTTCCTTAATTTCTCCCTGACTTACCCCTTTAAAGTAACACAGACACGGATTCCGTGCTAGTTGTCCACCCAGGACAGCGTCTCACCTCTGGTAGGGGCCTGATTAGAGGAGAGGCTGGGAATTCTTAAGACACCCACCTTTTTGACGTCTGAGGTCCTAGAATAGATTGCCGGTGCTGCCTGGGGCCTTACCATCATGAAGTGTAGCAGATTCTCGGTATTATTCATGCCACAGTCAGGGGCATCCACATGCTAATTTGCGAGACCTCAGGCCCGGACAGCATTGTATATAAGAGCCTTACGTCATGGAATCAGTAACACCAAAGCCAGATACAGTACTCTGACATAGGATTTAATGATTTTTAAAAAATCTTCGATCATAGAAATGCTAATAGAACAAGCTGTTCCCAGGGACCTGCCGTTCTTCCTGCTGGAGGTGACGCCTTGGGGCCCTTCTTGCCTCCACAGGGGAGAAGTACGAACTGCACGCGGGAACCGAGTCCACACCGAGCGTGGTGGTGCACGTCTGTGAGAGCGAAACTGAGGAGGAGGAACCAAAGCTCCCTAAGCAGAGAATCACCCAGACCCGGCGCCCGGAGCCCCCCAGCGCAGCGCGGAAGGAGCCCCAGGCCTTCGACTGTGCGCTGTGAGGCCGCCGGGCCTCCGCCGCAGCTCTGGCCGTCGCCTCCAGGGGGCGCTGTGGCCCCAGGGCGGGAGGCTGCGAGGGACCCGGGGCCGTCCGTGTCCTTGGCTGCGGGTGGGATGGAGGCGCAGCGGTTTCACCTGTTTGAAATGTTGGGTGACACTCTAAATGGCAGGTTAAAGGATTAGCCCCCAAGATGTGACGCTGATGACCGTTTTAAACAGTGACAACTAGGAACATGGCTTCCCCACCCCAGCAAGGTTAGCGCCCCTGATCCCACAAGGCTTGGGTACCACACATGGAGCCCTAGCACCCTGTTTGCAGTCCCATTTTTATAAATTTAAAAATAGTCTTACAGTGTTAATCCTCTGGCTGGGTGTTTTTGTTTTGGTATAATGGCTTCTGATACATTGATCAAGGGTAATTGTTATTTGGTATACATGACTTTTTTTTGCACGAAAAGAAACCTGAAATACAGAATAATTCATAATTATTGATAATGAATCATTTTTCTCTTTTTCCAAGTTTTATTTTCTTTTTTCTTGGTTAGCCATCGGGAAAGAAATGCCAAATCCACTATGATGATCAGAACCAAGTGGCGCCAGCCAGTGTGTGCGCTGTTCTTGCCCTTGGCAGGCTCTTAGTAGAAGCTGGGGGAGTGCTGCATGCAGGTGGCTCTTCCTGGTATGACCCCTCACCCCCAGATGGGCTTCTGGGGAAGAACTAGTACATGGGAAGAGGGACACATCACCAGGAAGCTTGACTGGCTGTTGTTGGGGTGGCTGCTTGGTCCTGCCATTGGGGACCCCAGTTCTAGCCTCTGAACGGCCAGGCCTGTGTGCTCCACAGTCTGTTACCTTCCCAGCACTGTCAGCCACTAGCTGTTGAGTTTTTCTGTGCTATGCATATATTGGTGTATGCCATTAATAGTCTTGAAATTAGAAAAGGTAACCGTGAGATTTTTTTCAGAAGACTCTTTTAAATTTTTCCATTGGGATATTTCCAGCTTGCTGGGAAGAAAAGTCAGACATACTATTTTTCTATGAATCAGCAGGTGAGGGGAGAGGTCATACTTTTGTTTTCAATGAAATTTCTTATGTTGGCTTACAGTTGTCGTTTCTCCCTAAAACAGGATAGTTTCTCACTTATGTTTCAGAATGTGTATTTGAACCTCCCAAGGTAGAAGTAGTATCTATTTAATGCTCTGTGTTCTATTCAGAATGTGCGGCTCCTCTTAACAGAAAAGGCCTGTAACTGAGCGTGCTCTGCTGTTGGCCAGGTGGCCGCTGGCTCTGTGCTCTTTTCTTCGGGGGGCAGATGTCCAGAGCTCCCCGGACAGATATGAGGGAATTGCACCGGAGTTAGAACTGATAAACCACAGTGGCTCCACTGCAAAGACAGAAAAACACAGAAATTCAAACCATGATATCTGTGTATTGTTGGTAACGTGTTGTTGTACTTTAGTCTTATTATAGTGAATTTATCTCTGACAAACTATCACACAGACAACCCACAAATTGGAGAAAATAAAAGTTTTCTGTTTTGTTTGTGCCCCTCACGTGCTGAAATGATGAACTCTCCTATTTGTATATATTTGCCATCGCTAAGCCTCGATGTAAATTCAGGTGAAATTTACAATTCCAGAGACAAGTAATTTATTGAATTCAGATCATCATTTGTCAGTTCCGCTGATAGCCACTCAATAAATTTATTTTGCTATTTATTTATTTATATATTTATTTATCTGCAGTGGAGCCTCCCTGTGTTGCCCTGGTAGGTCTCAAGCTCCTGGGCTCAGTTGATGTTCCGGGACTCTGGCACATGCCGTCACCCCGCTCCGCTCCACAGCTCTAAGCTCAGGACTCTGCTTCTTTCTGATTGAGGATGGACCCAACTTACCTGTCAGGAAATGTAGATATTTTCAACAGTTGAGAAATTTTAAAATTTCCTGTTGGGTAATATTTATTCACTCTAATTTTTGAAATGATTAAAACCCCATAATGTTTTGTTATTTGGCTCGGATTTCATTCTCTACCTGCCAATCAAAGAGCATGTAAGATTTTTGTCGTTGTTGTTAAGTCAAACAGTACAACTAATCAATTTATTCTATTCTCTTTCTCTCTCTTTTTTTTTTTGAGAGAAAGTACTGAATAAATTGAAGAAAACTTTAAACCAAAAGTACGTGCTTTGTACTTTCTATATGTGTTATTTATAGACCATGGATTTATTTTCAAAAGGCAGATCTCAGACATAATTAAGCCATGGAAAAATGCAACAGTTTGTGGTGGGCCAGGTCCTTCGTCCAGAGTCAAGGACCTCAGACCTGTTGGAGAGGTGACCGCTGCCATCTGCCCTCTTCCTTTCCATGTGCTCCTTTTTTTTTTTTTTTTTTGCACATTTACATTTTCATCTTTCTGCATTCAAGGCAACAAACAACTTAAAATTATTGTGACTGTGTAAAGGAACAGATGAGCGGGGGGAGTAGTAGCTTCTAACTGGGGAAGTTCATATAATAGAAACTCATTTGTTTAAAAGAATAAACTGAAAGGACCGGCTGTGTGACCCTGGCCAACCATCTGATAAATACCCACTTGCTTCACAGCTCCCCTTACAGGGGATCAGCCCCAACATCATCATCAGACTGACACTGTTTTCCTTCATCATAAATGTGGGGGCCGGGTGTTCCCAACTTGAAGGTGTCATGATTCCCAAATGCGCCAGCCACTCGGCAGCTGAAGCAAGAATAACTGCCGCGTTCACTGGCCAAGAACATGGTGAACGTCATCCAGCCCAGGTTAACCATCCGGGGGCTAAGTCCAAGCACCTCTACCCACTAAAATAAAAGTTCACAGACTTTTCACTAAATCAGATGCAGGGTCTGCCCTGAAAGCTCCCATTTCTTTGGAAATAGTCACATTCATCCAACTCTTGCAACTTGGCAGGGCCTTGACTGAAGGTTTGTTCTTGGGGTACAGAAGGTTCATGGTGATCTATGCAGATAACATGTGCTTTTCCACTTCATCTCCTGTTTAGTCCCCAATCATCCAAATTCAGATCGGGATAGGGAGACAGGGCTGATGCCGGTGCCATTGTTGGGCCCTGTGCTCCCCATGCTCCTCAACCCGGAGTGAGTGTGAATATCTGTCCGCACCGTCATGCACACCGACCCAAGAGAACTTTCCCCACCATCTCACTTTCCTCTTAATCGAGCCCAGGAGTTGGATTTACTGTTGTATCTGAACACATTTGTGACGTCGTGTTCCGTTCTGGGGTACCTTACCTTTCTGGTACTGTGAGCTGTACTTCCAAAAACTGTAATCTGTGTACATGTGTCCCACCTGTCCGTGTGCTTGGAGAGACAGCAGGGTTCCTACTTGCTTATCCATTGTCAGCTTTAACTCTCCTGTGGTTTGAGGACCTCTGAACTTTCCTTGTCCTGTTGAGGGGACACAAAAGCAGAATGTAATTTTTTGGGGGGAAGCTTCATGATGACTCGTGACAAGTTTTGTTTTTAAAAGTAATAAAAATAAAGTCGCTTTTATTTAATCAGCCCACTGAATCGAGTTCTTTGTACAATTTTCAACATGCATCAATTACATTTAGGCATTAACACAAAAAATACAGGAAAGTGAAATATTATGTTTGTTCCTGTAACAAGAGTCCTGTTGAACATGAATGCTGTTCTGTGCCAGAGTTCAAGGGTGAGTCACTGCCGACCGGAATAAAGACTGTAGTGTAGTTCTGCACCAAGAAAAGTTCTGGCCCTGGTTTCCACCTCTCTGAAACATGATTTATTCTTGATAAGGCTTATTTTCTGTCTTGACTTTAAAAAAAATAAATATCCAAATCAAAATATGGAAACTGGAAGACTGCGGAGGTTCTCTAGTAAAAGGGTTGGTTTATACTTATTTTTAAGCCATAAAACTCTGTTCTTTGTTCAAAAGAAATCTTACATGACACCCAATGTAAAAAACGGATTACGAAAAAGAACAGGTAAGCAGAGCGGCTACATTTGAAGGAGGCAGGGAAGGAGGGGGGTGCCTCCGCCACAGGAGCGCTGTGGAACCTCCTTCGGTCACCTGAGCTTGGCCCCACCCACCCACACCTGCACAGGAGGCGTAGCCCAGCTCACACACCTGGGCCAGAGTGACCTGGGAAGGACCAGAAGCCATTATCTCAGGTTCTTCCGACCTCACTCTACTGTTAAACGGAAGTCTTTAATTTTTCCAGAGAAAATATATTAGAAGTCAAAGCTAGATATTGTTTTGCTGTCAATAAAACTAAAGCATTTGTAGAACACAGTGATCCCAGCATCAGGTTTCAGTTGAGCTAAGGGCTCGATGGCTCCTTGAAAACCACTATAAACATCCTAATGGGGGAAAAAACAATTAAAAAAATACAAAATAGAAAATATAACATTTAAGTAATTTCCCTTGAAGTCTGTCGTAAAAGTAAAATTCAACAATGTAGGTATAGAGTCCTATTATCACCAAGAAATGTTAAAATAGATGGCAGGAGGAACTCTCCCTGTCCCGCAGGCGCACACAGAAACATGGCTGAAAAATAAGTACAGAACAGACTAAAATTCTTATGTAGGAAAGATCTCAAGTCTTGCCAAGCTTATTTTCAAGACAGAAAATAAGGCTTATCGAGAATAAATCATGTTTCAGAGTACAAATGGAAAGGACCCATGGGTTAGATATTTAAATGGGTGATTCAGAGCGTGTGATTTAGGAATAGATTGTGATCCAAAATATTGGGAAGAATTGAAGTTTTTGGGTAGCAGTAATTCTAGGAAATTTTAAATGTGCCCTTTTACATAGTCTCCTGGTAGCCGTACAGTGGTATATGATTTAAGGACGTCATTAGAAAATGTTGGCGGGTAAACATCATAAAGCGTACTTAATACCAACTAAGACAGCTCCAATGTCACTAGGCGGTATGATCCCGTGGGGCCATCCTGTACGTGCCATTGTCATTGACTGAAGCTCAGTGAGGCAGCCCCTAGTTCACTGTGTTGCTCAGATGTAAGGAACTGGACCCCTTTTGTCTCGTTGGCTGGGTTCTTGAACATTTGGAGGAACATTCTAAAATCTTGACTGGGTGCCGCAGTCTGGCTAACTTGAGAGACCTTCTCTTTTACTTGAATCAGTATGTCTTCTCCTTCCTCTACCACTGTCTGAACTGAAGGCTTTGGACTAAGCAAACCGGATACAAACGTCCACAACGGCAATGTGCCAATTGGCAGAGTCCCTGGGCTGTTCTTTTCTATTCTTTTTAAATCTTCAATCATGATGGTTCCATTGTGATATATCTAACAACTCCTCCTTAAAAAGCCATGGGCTACATTTTTGTATTGTATCAACATATGCCCTGACTGCTCTTGATTTTACTGGGAAGCCTCCGTCCTCTAACAATTTACTTAACACTTTTTCGGTTTGTTTTTTACTAATTTCTGATCCCGTATTTCTACTATAATACAACCCAACAAGATGACGCCCCAAAAAACCCGAGACAGAATGAAATAAAAAGGGAACCACAAAAAGTCATTATAGCCTTTCTATCTTCCTGAAATGTGCATCCGTCCTTTCCCCCTATCTGTTCCTCAGACGTAAATAGTTTTTCTTCAGATGTGAGCGGTTTTTCTTCCGTCTCACTCATCTCCAGGGACAGGCAAGTTAAAACAAAAGTGAAGCAAAACAAAAGAGGAATCTTAAAATGGCTACCCATCCTCTCGCCCTGCCCTCAGGGGCGAGCAGTTTACCTTATCACTTACCCTCAGTCGCTCCCTGTACAGGCCACCAAATGCCGTAGTCTGGCTAACTTGAGAGACCTTCTCTTTTACTTGAATCTTTTCTCTTTTTTTTTTTTTTTCCATCTGAGGGTTTTTCCTGAGGAGCTGTGTGGTGTGGTGTGTGGTTCTAAAAATAGAGTTCGTGTCTTTTGACAAGTGGTTCCTGAATTGTGCCCAGCCAGACTGCGGCAACTGGGGATCTGGTTAAAGGATAGATTTGTGAAATAAAATTCTTTTACTAACTGTAAGAATGGTGTTGCATTGGGGCATCAGAAAGAGCCCTCTGGGTTTCATGGGTGGGAAAATCAAGTTTATCCAGCTATTAGAATCTATAAGAAATTTCACCAAAGTGTCTTGACCGAAGAATAACTTAGAAAAAACAGGAGCATTTCCTTACACTATGGATGACCAAAGAACAATCAATAAGATACTATTCACGACTGCAACAAAACATCCCCAGAGACAAACTGAAACTCTAATAGGGATCTAGATAATTTAAGTACATGCAGGTTTCATGCTCTCAAGTGGTTTAACTTTTTATAAATTTCATTTTTTTCTCCAAATTAATATAAATTTAATAAAAGCTATCAAAATTCCAATTGTATTTTCTATAATAAACTCATTAAATTTATTCTAAAGTTTTTAGGGAAGGGGCTAAGGATATAGCTCAGTTGGTAGAGTGCTTGCCTCACATGCACAATGTCCTGGGCTCAATCCTCAGCACCACAAAAAAATAAACAAATACAATAAAAATAAATTTATGGAAGAATAAAGAAATACAAGTAAGTAAGACAACTTTTACTTTGGTATTGGGATTTGACCAAGGGTGCTTAACCACAGAGCCATATCTCCAACCCTTTTTCTTTTTTCTTTTGAGATACTAAGTTGTTGAGAATGGCCTCAAACTTGTGCTCCTCCTGCCCTCGCTTTCCAAGCTACTGGGTGCCATCTTAAGACAACTTGAAAAATACAAGATGACATGCCCTACCAAATATTATGACAACTTATAGAGTCAGGTGAGGCTGGTGCAAGAACAGACCAACTACAGAAAAGTAATAGAAACTAGCTCCTGTCTATGTGAGAATTTATTATACAATAAAGTGCCACCATAAACAGACGGAGAAAGGTTAACATCCAGTGGTGCTGGGAAAGCTGGTTTCACATAAGGAGGTAAATAAACATTGGTCTCCATCAAATGCCCTGTAAAAGATGGATTCCAGATGGTTAGCCCAATAAGTCTCAAGTTTTCAAAGCTGTAAATATGACAATGCCTTAAAATAGGTTGGAAATCATAATCTAGACTTTAAATGTCCTTTATCTATTTTTCATTTATTTTTTCCAAATGCTCTGATCATTTCCTGTTTTCTCAAAGAAGAGAACTCAAAGCATTTTTTATTTCAAAGTGTCCATAAGTTATATGTTTGTTGCTCATTTTAAATATTTTGTTTGCATCCTATATGTAAGACAATGGGACACAGTGGGTTAAAGACACAAGTGCAGAATGTACGACTATAAAATTAATGGGATGTATGTCATGTGACCCAGGAGCAGGGGGAGTCCTCATAAAATTTTCAAAGCATAAAGCAAAAAAAATAAAAAAAAAAATAAAATGTAAAGCGAAACACAAGAACCTACTCAACTAACCAGATGAACAGTCAACAGACACCCCTGAAGGAGGCATGTGGCCCAGACCTGTGATGGTAACAAGCTGGGGATTGAGAGGTCGGACGGTCCCGACCTTCCAGAGCCTTTCCATAGACTTTAGGAATCTGTTATTACTCTATTTCCTTCCGACCTTGATTCTGCATTCCTAGTTAACAATAGCATGTCATTTTCTCTAGTATTGCTCTAGAAGAGAATATCTTGCTGGATTATGGTTGGGTGAAACTCAGATTTTTATTGATGATATTTTTGCCTTTTCTTTTAGGATAAATCTTTCCAATAAATACCAGGTACAACCTGTTTTGTGGCTAAAATGTGTTTATACAAATATTTTTTTTTCCAAGTAAAGTTACATTCATCTTTTATTGAATTTACTCCTGCACGGGTAGGAAAATTCATAAATAAATGGTGCCATTCACTCTTGTCTGGGCACAGTATGTGGTTTGAATCTAGGCTCACCATCTCTTTTGGGTTCAAAGAAGTAATCACGTTAATTGTTGGCCCTGTGCTGTCTTGTGTCTTGAATATGGAAAAGTATACATTTTTCTGGGCTGGGAGATTTGGCCAGGTCCCCTCCCACCAAGAGAGGAAATTAGACCAAAAATAACTTCTCAGAGATTGCCTGGCTGAGCCCTAAGATTAAATGACTTTAATGGTTCAAATTTCCTCATCTTCTATTACTTATTTCCTTGATAACTTGAGTCATTTCCCAGGCTACTTATTCTATCTTATTAGAAATGGAAGTTTTAGGATGAAGATTTGTCTCCTTGGCAAATGAGAAGCAGCCATTGGGCAGCAGAGAATTTTCTAGAGGCCTGCTAGTTCCTTTTTTGTTTTTCCCTTAGGGACTGAACCCAGTGATACTTTCCCACCGAGCCACATCCCCAGCCCTTTCTTTTTTATTGTATTTTATTTATTTGATACCAAAAATTGAATCCAGGGGTGCTTAACCACTGAGCCACATCCCCAGCCCTTTTTATTTAGAGACAGGGTCTCACTAAGTTACTTAGAGCCTCCTTAAGTTGCTGAGGCTGCTTTGAACTTGCAAGTCTCCTGCCTCAGCCTCCTGAGCAGCGGGGATTACAGATGTACACCACCACGCCTGGATTTATATTTTATTTTGAGACAGGGGTCTCACTAAGCTGCTTAGGATCTACTAAATTGCTGAGGCTAACCTCGAATTTGTGATCCTCCTGCCTCAACCTCCTGAGTGGCTGGAATGACTAGTCTAGCTTATCAACATATTTTTATCTTTCATTGTTGAGAGCCACAGCACAAGGGGCCCCAGCAAACTTCCAGCTGATTGGCTCACAGTGGCCCCAGCAAACTTCCAGCTGCCAGCTGATTGGCTCCTCTGCGGTGATGCTCATTGGGCTGTTTCCCTGTCCTTTCAGACCACGGAGCTGCTCATTGGGGGACTCTTTTGGCTCTGCCCATGCGACCCAGCCAATCGGCCTCAAGAGCCGGAGGAGTGGGGGGTTGAGAGACTAGCTGGAAGCCGGTGGTGGCAGTTGGGCTCTGAGGGAATTCCTGAAGAGCTTCTGTGGTGCAGCGTGTGTTCTAAAAATAAAGTTTGTTTCTGCTTGATAAGTGGCTCCTGAATTGTGCCCAGCCAGGCTACGGCATTTCATAAAAGAAGTTGAAGTCCTACCTCACAGTATTTCATCCAATGACCCTACTTGGAGATAGAGTCATTGGAGACATGGTCATTAGGGTGAGCCCTGATTTGATGTGAATGTACTTCTTAAAAAAAAAAAGTGGGGATGGGGATTTGGACAGACCAACACTCCTGTGCGCGCTCGAGGGAGGGCGCATGTGATTCTCCTGTAGGCCAAGGGAACTGAAGATTGCCAGCAAACCACTAGAGGGCAGTCCTCAGGAGGAGCCCACCCTGCTGACAACTTGACCTTGAACTTGTAGCCTCCAGAACTATGAAACAATACACTTCTGTTGTCTAAACCACCCAGCTTACGGTGCTTTGCTCCAGCAGCCCTAGAACATGAATTCACTGCCCATCCACAGCGTAGGAGTAAGCAGTTAGCTCTTCTCGCTCCATGGGGAAGTCTGGCCTGGGCACCACCCTCTCTGGTGTCCCTGCTCCAGCCCTGCTGCCACTCCTCGTTTGCTCCTTCCCTCTACCTGCTCTCCAGCCTGTGCACCTTGCATCCTGACACTGGAAGTCTCCCCAAGGGGTGTGAGCTCCTCGGGGTCAGGGGTCATGCTCCTCTTGTTCATCAGCATGTTCCCGTGGTGCCTGGCACACTGTCCTCCCTGGAATCACCCTGTGTGACGGGATCGGATTGTAATCATCTGTTCATAAACCTCATTCTCAATACCTGGGCCGTGCCTGACAAAGCTCAGCTCTGGAGGGTGGAAGGATCGAAGGATGGATGGAAGGAAGGATGGATGGATGGATGGAAGGATGGATGGAAGGATGGATGGATGGATGGAAGGATGGATGGATGGAATGAGGGTGGAAGGATGGATGCATGGAAGGAAGGATGGAAGGATGGATGGATGGAATTGTTATGCCAGATTCGTGGGACCCCAATAGACCTCCCGGAGCCGAATCCGATGCAATCACATAAGAGTCTTTATTGCAAGCTCGAGCCTGGATTCACGACCGTTCCCGACGCAGCGGTCCCAGGGAGTGACATTTTATAGGTTTGGGGGGATACTCTATGCGTCACTACACCACACAGTAAATCATTCCATACCGCAGGAAAATCAAACAACAACTCTTAACATTGATTAGCACATTCACTGGCGGGAACAAGTTGGGTAAGGGTGATTGGTTAGTACAAGAAGGGGATTCTTTTAAACTGATTGGTTTAGGCCACGAGGGGAGTACGTGCTGAACTACACGGTTTCCCAACATGTTATCAACCACCATAAACTACTGGGAGGGGGTCATCTGGCATCCCAGGTATTTTCCCTGTCTCATGCTGATTGGAGGTTGCTAGGGGGTTGCTATGGGTCCCCACCTAGCCTAACTGAGTCAGGGACACCTGGCACCACAGATCTCTCCTGTTATTTTTCAGACAAACAACTCAGCAGGGTGGGTATGTGCCTAGGAGTGCTCTGTGGGTCTTTCCAAGGACAAGGGTCATGCCCCCTCCTTGGACAGGCTTTGCTCTGAGGTAGAGGATGGTTTCTCAAAAATGGAGTCACATCAGTTTCTCAGAATGAGGGTGGAAGGATAGATGGATGAAAGGAAGGATGGAAGGATGGGTGAATGGATAGGTGGATGGAAGGATGGAAGGATGGATGGGTGGGTGGGTAGATGGATGGATGGATGGATGGATGCTATAGAAATTCTTCAGGTTGAGAGCCAGGGATGTGGCTCAGTGGTAGAACGCTTGTCTGGCATGTGTGAGGCCCTGGGTTCAATCCCCAGCACCATGTAAAAACAAACAAAATAAAGGAAAGAAAGAAAGAAAAGAAAAGAAAAGAAAGAAAGAAAGAAAGAAAGAAAGAAAGAAAGAAAGAAAGAAAGAAAGAAAGAAAGAAGGAAATTCTTCAGGTTGAGCCATCTCAGTGAGCTGAACTCGGCAAGAAAGTCCTCCTGAAAGAGAAGGGAGAGCAGGACAGTAGGACAAGAGTGAGTGCCAGGGAGGGAGGAAGCAGGAGGCTCCTGAGACAGAGCCCAAAAGCAGACTCCCCTGGGCCAGCTGGGAGTCATGTGACGCAGGAGCGCGCAGTGAGGCCGAGACACGGGACCCGCTGTGGGTTACTGGGCCTGCCGGAGGGGTGAAGTGAAGGAGGACTGTGCAGGTAGGGCTTCAGGACACGTGCTGTGGCAGAGTGGAGGTGGGGCACCCTGCGGCATGGAGAGGGAGCAGGCGAACGGCCTGGGGAGGAGGCTTCTGATGGAGTCTGGGTGGCGAGGACCTCTGCAGGAGGCCAGTGTCCCAGGTTTGGCGTCAGACCAAGCCTGGGGTCAGAGGGTGACCCAGCGCTGTGCGGCATAGGGTAAGGTCCCTAACCCTCATCTTGGTGAGCCTCCGTTTTCTCATCTGTAAAATGGGAATCATAGAACACCTTGCAGTAGGGGTTACTGAGGCACCTGTAAATCACCTAGCAGGGTTCTAGTTCCACGGATGCTCTAAATAAGTAATAACATATTGTCGTTAGGAATACCTGGTGGCTGTCCTGGTGGGGGAAAAAATGAGACTGACCTTCTTACGTGCCACTGAGGGAGAGTTACAATCCCTGTCCTTCAACTTGGAAAGAAAAGACTTTTGCTAGAAGGCTTTGCCTTTCCTTGCAGTATAGAAACCGCTAGGATCCCCGTGGGGAGAACAAGATCTTCAGTTGAAACCTAAACCAAGAGCCACCAAGCTTTACAGAAGAGCTCCAAGCCCTGAAGTCACACCCTTCCTGAGGGTGCTTTCTGGGAGGGGTTTCTGGTGTCAAGTGTATTCAAAGAGCTCCAAGGGACACTCTGCTCTCTTTTCTGCACCATCTGCAGCCTGACTCAGTGGCCGCTCTGTTCCTGATGCGGTCCCCGCTCCTGACACTGGTACCCAGCCACCGCTTCTCCTCTGGGCCGCAGCACAATCTTGATGTTCGCATCCCAATCGCTGTGGGTCCAATGACCAATTTAGTGATTGCCATTCATTTGACATTCGCACCTCACTGTTTTCAAAGTAGTTGTCACACGCATCATATTTTGGTCTTTACAGGAACCCAGGAGGTAAGCTGGGCATCTATTATTATTTTATAGACAAAAACCCAGTTGGGAGACCCAGGAAGCCCAGGAAGTGCCTGGCAGGCAAGAAAGCAAAGCAGGACACGAATGGGCTTGGAGATGAGGTGGGCACCTGCAGGTAAGGGGAGGCCGGGAGGAAAAGAGACACAGGAAGGGTCAAGTTTAGGGCAGGGGCTCATCTCAGACTGTAGTTGGCTTGGGGAGAAAGCCTGTTGGCAGCATTTTAAAAAATTTTACAGAGTAGAGGAAATACGAATAGGAAGGGGAGATTCGACTAGCTATCCTGAGAGATCAGGTGGACAAAAAATAAGTGCAGATAACAGAAATTTAAATAACAAGTCAGGTGGGGCTGGGGATGTGGCTCAAGCGGTAGCGCGCTCGCCTGGCATGCGTGCAGCCCAGGTTTGATCCTCAGCACCACATACCAACAAAGATGTTGTGTCCACCGAGAACTGAAAGATAAATGTTAAAAATTCTCTCTCTCTCTCTCTCTCTCTCTCTCTCTCTCTCCTCTCTCACTCTCTCTTAAAAAAAATTAAAAAATAAATAAATTTGATGTTAAAAAATTTTAATTATCATTTAATAAATAAATAAATAATAATAAGTCAGGGCTGGGGGTGAAGTCAGGGGTGGAACACTCAACTCACATGCACAAGACCCTGGGTTCCATCCCCAGAACCACAAAATGAATAAATAAATGATAAACAGTGCTAATATAGATTATATGTAATATATAAAGTATATATTATCTCGTATCATGACCCAGAACTATGGGATCTATTTTATATCATAGACTGTGCATATTACACATATGTATGTATGTATGTATGTCTGCTCATGTAAATAAAACTGTCCAAGTCCATTTGGATCGCTAAAACAAAGATAAAATGGGTATAAATACTTAAAAACAACAGAAATTTATTTATAATCACCTGCTAGCAGCTGGGGAAGTTCAAGATGAGGTGCCGGGAGATGCAGTGTCTGGAGAGGGCCCACTTTCTGCCTATAAGGTCTTTGCCTAACATCTGGAGGGCCACCTCAAATGACAGCCTCCATTTTAAGGAAAAAGCATCACTTTCCCGTCTCAGGGCCTTTCTGAGAAGGGCTCCCCACCCCCTCATACCAACCCCACCCCTAACCCCCTGCATTAGGACCTCCCCTGGCTCTGATTCCTGGGCCTCCCCCATAAAAGTCCCAGAACCCCAGCCTGTGTCACCTCTGTCCCCTGTGGAGAGGTGGCCTTTATCTGTCAGCTCTGACAAATAAACTCTCGTGTGATCTCGGCCTGGTCTCTGTCTTTCATCTCTCGCTCCTCGCTTTCCCTTCAGGCCTCATTATTGGATTGGCATCAGGGACAAGGACCAACTTTTGGCAGCAATTCTGTGGCTCCCTTTCTGGTGTGTTATGCAGGTAACGACCCCATCCAGCAGGTGTGAGAAAACACCCGGCGAGCACAGGTGTTGGGTGTCAAAGATGCCAGAACTTGTCACTTCCAAATCCTTGGCCTGTCGTGACGATGGATTGGAACAGGTGAGCCTCCCGGGTTCCCCAGACCCAGAGAACTGCCATTGAGCAGCACCAGGACTCGGTTCACCTCCTAGAGAGAGACTAAGGGAAGGGTAAAAATGCTTCGCCTTAATCTGCCAATTTTAAAAGCAAATCTCTAGGCATATTCCGTCTTTTCAGGAAAAAAAAAAAAAATCCCACAGTGTCCAGGCTGGTGGGCAGCCAGGATTCTGTTTAGCAGCTTTGGATGATAAAGGGAGGGGGACTGATCACCCCCACCTCCAGTTTCCCTGAGGGTCTAAGTAGATCTTAGGACAGAAAGCCAAGTCTTAGATTCTGGGAGCTTTGAACACCCCACACAGACACTCTTTCCTCTCACAGGAGTGATGTCCCGAGACGCAACAGCTCTAGGCAAAATTAAAAAAAAAAAAGGCCAATCACCACATCTGGTCCCAAATGTCTCATAGCCCCAACCAGCACCCTGAACAAGCGTCTCTTGTATAAATGCCCAGCTAGCCACCTCTGCCTGCCACGGCCACAGCTGGAAAGGACAGAGTCCATGCAAGTCAGAGCGCATGTTAAGGCAAATGAGTGCATTTTGCAATTCAAACTTATTTTAAAAATCCATTAATCGTTAAATACTGCAGGAAATATAACATAAACTTGAGCCCCTGCCCTCCTAGAGCCTTCAAGAAGGCGGACGTTATTTTGTAAAGTGTCTACTTTATCCTTTGAATGTGGCCCTTGCTGCTCAGCCACTGCAACTGATTTTTTAAACGGACGGGTTTCTTTCTCTTTCTCTCCCCTTCTCCTCCAGAACCTCTCCCCTCCCTATCTCCGGGGAAACAGGATCACCTTTCTTCCCCATCTAGACAGTTCTGTGTCCTTGATCACACACCCACCACAGGATGGAAGGAATCCAGACTTTGGAGATGGCACCGGAAGAGCTCAGAAATGACTCTCCCAAATTGACAGTGGAATGACGACTCCAGCAGAGAACACGGGGAATGTAGCCATTGAGTCACCTCTTCCTGCTGATGGGCAGAATGACAGCCTCCGGGACAGGAGTCCCCTGTGCTTCTTCTTCACTAGCAAAGCCATCGACCTTCCTTTGCCTTTTTCTCCAAACCATGTCCTTATTATTGGCTCGGCCTTGGGGACAAGGACGAGTTTTCAGCAACAATTCGTGAGGTTAGCTGGGACTTCACGGTGGGGTGGTGGAGAGGAGGGGCTGGGCGCGCAGGGTGCTGGCCTCTGGGAGGAGTGGCCCGCGGCAGGCTTGTTGGAGGAACAGGTGTGGCCCACAGGGATATGGATGGGGAGGGAGGAGCTCGGGAAGGTGGGGATGATGGTGACCAGCAGTCGCACATGGTCAATGATGAGTGTTAATGAAGGGTCTGCCCAGGGCTTAGGTCCCCTGAAGATCCATCGCCATCTCCAGCTCCAGTCACAAGGTTCTTCCTGATCCTCGCCAGGTACTCTTTCGGGTAACCGTGGGCAAGGTGGATGATCTGTTCAAGTCTCAGTTCCTTCATGTGTAAAATGCAATAGCGGTACCCACCTTAGGTGACTGTCTAGACACTTAAGTGGATTGTGTACCTAGCCCACGTTATCCAGATGGGACCTGTAATCTTTATTACTGAATTTTGTGATGGCCAAAGGCTATTTAATCTACTCCGCCTGGTGGTTTGCTGGATTTCTAGTATGTTTCTAGAGATCCGTGCTTGGTGCTTCAGAGGATGCCAAGACGAAGATGAACGGAGACGTTCACAATTTAGTAGAAGAGGGAAAATAATCAAAAGAAAAAGAAATGGCTGGGCACAGTGGTGCACACTGCAATCCTAACAACTCAGGAAGCCAAGGCAGGAGGATCACAAGTTCAAGGCCAGCCTCAGCAACTTAGTGAGAAGGAGACTCTATCTCAAAATCAAAAGGGCTGGGGATGTGACTCAGTGGGAAAGTGCCCCTGGCTTCAATCCCTAGTACCAAAAAAAAAAAAAATAGAATTAATGAATATTTTAAAAGTCAAAAGTGGATTTAATATGTCTAACATATTGCACATCCTAGCTTAGCAACACGTACACTAAAAAGTGTCCCCTAGTGATTACAGAGCTACCTGGGCATTGCACTTGCTGCTGCCACCCATGTCTCAAGAGATGAGTAGCTCAAATATCACTAGCCCCCCAAAACATTCAAAGTCCTCAATTCAAAGTACAGTTCCTACTGACTGCATTATAACACTGAAAATCATAATTCAACCATCAAGACTGTCTATTCTGGAGGTTAGAACTTCAGCCTATGAATCTGGGGGGACACAGGTCCCCCATACCAGATAGCAACCTGGAATGATTGACAGCCCAGTCACGGTGGGAAGAGTCAAACAGCCCTCAGTGATTTGTCCTCAATAAGAGAGTCAGCTGCCGGCAGGTGGGAGGAGGGCGAGACGCCAGGACATCCTGGGGGGGTCCCTAACGGCACGCAGTGACACATTCAGCCCGGGAGATGAGAAGTTCAGGTCTGGGCACCGGAGTTCCTGGCTGCCAGCCCTCATCAGGCCACTGTCTGTATGGCTTCAACCTGAGTCACACAAGCATCACCTGGGTCCCTCGTCAACAACCACGGCAGGCTGGCCCCACCCCAGAGGCCCAGCTCTAAGGCTGGGCCTGCAGAAGTCCTCCAGAGTGCCCGGGGGATTCTGAGGGACAACCAGCACTGAGACCCCCTGGGCTGAAGGGTGCTCGAGTCTGCCCAAACTGGGGTCCTCTCTTCCTGGTTATTGTGTTCTGGGCCTTTAGAACTGCTGTCAGTGTTCTCTGAATTCACTGTCCATTTAGAATACTATCATCACATTCCCAGACATTTTTATTTTTTGAGACAGGTCTCACTAAGTCGCTCAGGGCCTCGTTAAATTGCTGAAGTTGATCCTTCTGCATCCGTCTCCTGAGCCGCTGGGATTACGGGGAGTGCCACCATGGCCGGCTTTATTCATTTGTGTTGGTTCCTCCTTCAAATGCCATCTTCGTCAAGGCAGGGATTACTGGTCTCTTTATTCATTGCTGACATGTCGAGGCCCCAGTAAATACGCATGGAATGAATGAATGGATTATGGAAGCGATGAGGAGATCCAGAGGTTAGGAGACATGGCTGAGGTCACACAAAGCAACAAATGGAGGAGCTATTGAATTATGTTCTTCTCACCATTGTTCTCTGGCTCTGCTCTGGGATGACCTTGATCGTGATGGACCCAGCAGGTACAGAGGTGGCTGTGAATGAGCTACCTGCTGCCAGGAAGTGCTCCCGGGATTCTCTAGACATAAACCTATCTTCCTGGTTCACGGTGGAAAGTGGCTTCTGCTGGTGGCTAAGAGCTTAATTTATAGATTCTCATTTTCATTCTGGGAATGGAATTTTTCCTCTTTAGATACCTGTAAGTGGTTTGTACTGATTCCTAAAATGAGGAAGCTGCTGGGGAATGACCAGAGCTGCCTGTTTAAAGAGGCCGCTGTGAGAATCACACTTAGCACCCACGGAGCTGGGAGAGGCCTCAGGGACCACACGGTGCACGGGTCATTTTACAAGTGAGAAGACAGGGGCCCAGAGGGATCCCGTGGCTTGCTGGGGGTTCCAGACCCCGACTCTGCTCCCTGACTCTCTCCTCAGTCTCCATCCTCAGACTCTCCCGGAGGTGAAATGGGAGTTGGCGGCACACAGGACAAGAGCCCTGCCCTCTTCTGGGTCCCACCCCCAGGCACCATGCAGTAGGTGTCTATCTGGGAACGGCCTAGGACAAACAGCGCGCTGTGGGCCCTCTAAATAATTAAGAGCCCTGACCCGAACCTTTTGGCCTTTGCAGTTCCCCCACCCCTTGGTTGAGAGGCAAAGAACTGATTTCAAAAGCAATTGTCCTTCTTACCTTTATTTCCATTTTTTTTCCCCATATTGGATGAATCAAGGTGGACTGGGGTTTCTCTGGATTCATGAGTCCCTGGGCTTCATCTCCCCACTGAAATTGCATTTAAATCCTATATGACATCTGGCTGGTTTCCCCGGCAACCATCTTGGAAGCCATAAACAGCAGATTAAGTCTTTGAGGGAAGAAGCAAGAGAATGGACAACCTCTGCCGAGGCAAAGACCCAGGCGCTAGAAGGTCCACAGCGGTAACCTCTGCTAATAAGGAAGGGAAGGGTCCCTGGCTGCATTGGAGGTTCTCCATGCGGGAGCAACATTTGTTCATTTTCTTTCCTTTTCCCCTTTCTATGGTTGGGTCTGGGGATTGAACGCAGGACCCCGGGCACACTAGGCCAACACTCTACCACCAGGCTACACCCCCAACCCCTTTCTCCTATTTCTAAATCTCCCAGCGCATAGAACCTACATGGTACATCTGAAACCCAGATGGTTTGTTGGTAATTCTAACAGCAATGTTCATTGACATACAAAACTATTTTATGTAAACATCATCTTTTTAGGGAAAAGGACAAGGAAAATTAGCACACTTTATTTACATTCCACCAAATGTCCCTCAATCTTCATCCGCACCCAGGCAGACGCTTTGTACAGGTGTCAGAGTTCACCTGTGTTCCCTTTTCTGTTGATGTGTGCATCTCCATGTGCTGCACACCTCCAGCATTTGTGTGTGTGGTGCCTCCCTGATAAGCACAGTAGTGTGGCTACACTCTGTCCCTTGGAATTGTGAGCGTGTGCAGACCTCATACAACATGCATGAGACACGGGCACGGTCCTTGCCTCTCTGGGCTCAGACGCTTGGTATAAGGCCCAAGGAAGACAACAATGTCCCTGAATTGCCTCCTGCACAGCTAGATGGAGGGTCAAGATCTGGTTCTGGAAGCCTCAGATGCTCAGGGCATGAACTGACTCGCTGACAGCCAAGCCACCTCATGGCTTTCATTTTTTTGAGCCTTCAGCGGATCCTGTCTGCCCTTCCAGCAGAACACACCACACATCACAGAGTTTCCACTGCCACCTCTCGTCCACACCACCCTCCCACCTGGACTCACTCAGCCAGTTGGTTGATCTGCTAAAAATGTAGGCAAAATCCAGGCACGATGGCACACTCCTGTAATCCCAGCAGCTCAGGAGGCTGAGGCAGGAGGATCGCAAGTTCAAAGCCAGCCTCAGCAATGGCGAGGCACTAAGCAACTCAGTGAGTCCCTGTCTCTAAAAAAAAATACAAACTAGGGCTGAGGATGTGTCTTAGTGGTCAAGTGCCCCTGAGTTCAATCCCCAGTACCCCATCCCCCCCACAAAAAAAAGAAAACATTAGGCAAAAGCAAGTTGTTGCTTTCTTTCTCACCCTCCCACGGCCTTGGAATAACATGGGAACTCCTCACTCTGACCTGTAAGACCTTGCAGCATCTGACCTCTGCCTGCCTGTGCCCTCATTCTGTCCACTCTTCCCTCTGCCTCCCACTCTGGTGGCTGTGCCCTGGCCTCATGGACTTGCACACACAGGCCACGGCCCTTCCCTCCCTTGCCTGTCCTGCCAGTCTCAGCCCATCTGTCTTCTCCTTGCAGACAGGGGTTGCTCTTCCCACTTTTTCTGAAGGTTCCCCTGCCCTCCGCCTGACTGACCACTGACAGCGCATGATTACTTCCTTCACGGAATTTTCATCAGATTACCTTTGTGTGCCTGACCATCCATCCTTCAGGCTGGGTACCAACTGGCCCTGTGCTAGCCCCACTGGAAGGTGAGCTTACAGGCCTGGGAGGGGCTGCTGTTGACTCAGCCCCGCCTCTCTAAGTGCCCAACCCTTCCTGAACACTCCGCAGCGCTTAATGAATGAATAAGCTGAGAGATAACACTCACCTTGAGCCTTCTTATTCTTGGGCCTCAGGGCGTGACCCCCTGTTGAGCCTGACCCTGGTTATGGGGAGGGCTGAGGAGGGAAAACTCGGCTCCCAAGCCCCCTCAGGTCATTCTGACTGGCAGGCGTGATGCAGGCTTGGGCTTGAGTTAGGAGGAGACCACAGGAGGTGGGGTACAGCCAGGGAGAACAGAAGGATCATCAAGTCTCACAGAGGAGGACTCCTCAGAGACGCCAAGGCTCCTCTGTGCCGGCACCTTCCCCTCCCCAGTTCCCACCACTTAGCCTGATAATTCCCCGACTCGCCCAGCACTCACAAGCGCCTCATTTGCATCCCTCACCATAACCATACCAAGGTGAGCACA